TTTCAAATACATGTTTGCTTAGTCGGCAATCTCACTATAAAGGCGAGTTGAGTGATGTTTGACTTGCCTTAAATGTCACATCTGTGCTGTGACCCACTGGCCCGTGTAGCTATGCCGTGGTGCGGTAATGTCGTCACGATACTCAGAAACCGGTATCAAATCTTATTGAGGTACTGATGATATTTATACAGAGTTTAAACTGCAGTCATTCTTGAATGAGAGAGCCTTTTAAAACAAGGCTAAGTGAAAGTAAATGGCACCGTAAGGCAATTATTCTAATTGATGCGAAAACTTAATTATTAGTCCTTAAACCATTTTAAGCGCCCTATAGTGACCAGGGTCTCAGCCAAAACATTAAAGAATGGACCAAGATAATTGGGTCACTTGTCCACTTGCTCAACAAGGTAATGAAGACGTACAAAAACACCTTGTTATCATAGCATTCCAAAAGTGCGACTATGTCCGGGCTATCTATCTGGCAATAATGACCAATTGAGAGGGGCGTACATGACCTGATGTAAAACTATGAAAACTTGCCACCCACCATGGTTTTTAGCGATGGACATCAATGCTCTAAGAGCTCACACTTGCGAAGAGGCAAGAGAGAGCAAGAAGGAAAAATAAGATCAGATATTCCGCTAAACCAGAGAAGAAGGCCTATTAAAGGACCATAAAGCGACGTTTACCTTCTGAGGGCGCAGAATCACGTTTGTGTTTATTTCTGCGTTTTTTTCGCACCTCTTTCATCAAGCCTGGATGGGGAGTAGCAGGCCCACCAGTAATCGTAGCTTCGGCCAGATATCCTTCCCCCTCCTCTGCTGTTTCCAGTGCCTCAAACAGCTTCTTCTCTCTTTCATCTGCCACGTCAATCTGAGTAGCAAGAGAGAGACTGTTGTCAGTCTCTAAAAGGGACCATAACGGCAGAGTAAGACAAGGCGAGGAAGGCGAAGCAGTGGGGACGATAGTAGTGATAGTGCAAGCAATCACATTTTGAAGTGCCGGTGGAAGAGACGAATCGAGGATTATTGAAATAGAACGCAGAATGCGATGCGTGTTTTACTCGAAGTACATGCAAGTGGGGAAGATGCAGTTAGGAGTGGAGAAATGAAAATATGATAAAAATGTGTGAATGGATGCGGGAATAAAAAAGGAATAGGGGATGACCGTGATGAAATCAAGATGAAGAGGGCAATGAAGCTGACGGATATACGAAAAGTATCATGAAATCAAGCTTCGTCCAAGACTACCGGAAAAAATCGAAGACAATTACTTTAAAAATATCAAAATAGAAGTAATAAATGAAAATCAGGAATGGGAAGTTGAGCAAAAATAGGTCGATTCTAGTAATGATGTATTCAAAAGGAAGATATAAATATCAGGCCTGAA